GCGTCACTATTTAATTCATAAGGAATTTGTCTTATACTTTGATCATGAGGTTCTAAAATACATAAACTCTCAAAAGAAGTTGAATCATCGACATGCAAAATGGGTTTCTTTTTTGCAAGAATATTCATTTGTTTTCAAACACAAGGTTGGAATAGAAAACAAGGCAACAGATGTTGAGTCGAGTAGCTTTAGTTCTTACTTCTATGGCTATTCAAGTAGTGGGTTTTGAAGTAATCAAAGAATAATATTCATCTTGCAAGGATTTCAACATAATATATGCTGATCTCCAAGCTGGACAGCATGCCAATTACCCAGATTTCATTTACATGATGGTTATCTATTTAAAGGAACTCGTCTTTGCCTACCAAGTACATCCCTACATGATGAAGTAATTCAAGAGCTACATTCAAAAGGAGCAATAGGACACTTTGGAAGAAATAGGACAATTGTTATGATAGAAGATCAATTCTACTGGCCAAGTTTAAAGAGTGACGTAACCAGAATTGTAGCTTGGTATAGGATTTGTCAAATATACAAGGGAAAAAGGAAGAATACATGTTTAGATACTCCTCAACCTATTCCACATGAGCCTTGGGAAGACCTAAGTATGGATTTTGTTCTTGGGTTACCTAAAACATTGAAGAGAAATGACTCAAGTTTTGTGGTGGTTGATCACGACTCAAAAATGGGCCATTTTGTTCCTTGTTTGAAGACATATGATGTTGTCTATGTTGCTAAACTTTTTTCAAAGAAATTGTTCACCTACATGGGTTACCTAAGACAATTGTCTCAGATAGGGATGTGAAGTTTATGAGTTACTTCCGGCGATCCTTATGGAAAATGTTTGGCACAAAACTGAAATTTTCAACCTCTTTTCATCCACAAACAGATGGACAAATTGAGGTTGTCAATAGAAGCTTGGGTGATCTCCTTCGTTGTTGTGTTGGGAATCATGTTAAAACTTGGGACCAAACTCTTCCAATGGTTGAATTTGCTTATAATAGTTCTGTGAATAAAAGTACAGGTCATAGCCCATTTGAAATTGTGATAGGAATACTTCCTTGAAAACCAATTGATTTGACTCCATTACTAGTGGGAAGTCGTATTAGTGTGGAAGCAGACAAACATGCTGAATTTACAGAAGGAGACATGGTTATGGTAAGAATCAAACTTGAGAGATATCCTAGAAGATCAAATAAGAAGCTTCACTTCCAATGTGTTGGACCTTATAAGATTATTAAGAAAATTAGCTCAAATGCTTATGTTCTTAATCTACTTGATGATATAGGGTGTTAGTAACGTCTTCAATATTGAAGACTTGACATTCTACAATGGACATGATGACAACACCTCAAACATAACCAGTGCAAATCTTCCTTTCAACCCACCCACAAAGGAATAAATTGAAGATGTTCTTAATCATGACATAGTTTCAACTAGAGAAGGTGGTTATCAAAGGTTTCTTGTCAAGTGGAAAGGACATTCACTTTCTGACTGCACATGGATTATAGAAAAGGAATTTCAACAATTAAATCCAACTCTCTATGTTGAATTCCATGCTTCTAACTCGACAAGGTCGAGTTTCTTCAAGCAGGGCAAGATGATGGGGCATGCTAGCAGCAGCCCCCAAAGGTGTACAAAAGGCAAGCCAAAGTTGGTTCACAAAGCCCATGCTTTAGTTTGGCACAGGGCCAGTGATGAGAAGCTTAGTTGAGAGCTTAATTAAATCTTTTATTAGTAGTTTATTATTATTAATATTATTCTTAAAACTATTTAATTTTTGTCAAGTCCTAGTTGGATTAGAACTTCTAATTAGGAGTCCTATTAGGAGTTTTAATAGTTCTTATATATATATATATGTTTGTAAGTTTTTTTAGACATTCAGTTGGTAATATTTAGATTTTTTTCAACAAGTTTGCTCTTAATTGTGTGAAACAATCTTGATTGCATGAAGCAATCTACCTTAGGAGTGATTCCTAAGGGTGCCTAGGTGTGATTCCTAGGGTTCTTTATTCTTCCTTGTCCTCTAAACTAAACTCCTAACCTTCCTTTTACTATTCACACACCCTATTCATAGCCTAAACTATCTTCAAAGAAGCCTCTAAATCCTCAAGCCCACCATACCCCTAACCTGTCTCGCATCATCTAGATTGGGTGCATCTTTCAATGAAGCATGTAATTATTGAACCACGAAATCCAGGTGCTTTTAATTCACCATCTATTAAAACGTATATAGAGATAAATGTTTATTGATGGGCTTAAAAAAAAAAATAAAAAAAACACTTAAAATTACATCATTTTAATAAAACATTAAAATAATTAAAATAATTTCACTCTTACTTTTAAAACTAAAATATTTTAATTATTTTCAATGAAAATTTATTTTCAACCTAATTTTTGTAGGGATTACTAATAAGGAGGTTGATTCATGCATATCTGGCTTCTCACCCAATGTCGCCCATTAAATAAAAAATTAATATTTTACGGTTTTGGAATTAGACGAGAACAGCTTAAACTTGTTGCCATTCACATTATATTGGTTTACTTGTGTTTCGAACATATTTCTCGCTATAATAGACTTTCTCCTCGCCAGGGAGGGCACTCACTTGCTCATTTTGCCATGTCATAATGAAATTCCAGATTATTCGACTGTACAACTAGTAAGAGGAAGATGTCGGTGACTACTTTTTATTTCTTCTGAAGACCCACATCGTCTGTATCCTCTCACCATTCTAATTCATTTTGATGCCATATTTTTTTTCTCCGCCCCCTTTGCATTCTGGGTTTTTATGCTCTCCAACCATAAAAGCTCACCTAAGCTAAAGGGTTTAATCATGTACAACTTCAATCTAGCAGCAGATCTGGTTACTAATTGTCAATCTTTTTCATCTCTTTCTCCGAACTCTACTCTCTCTGGCTTAATCTCTTACTTGTCTCCCCTTTTGTGATTTTAGTGTGGACAATTGATCAAATCAGTAGTTTGTGAGGGAGGTACAGGTGAGAGTGAAAATGAAGAAAATGGGAACACAAGAAGTAATACAGATAAAAGAATAAAATGGAAAAAAAGAAGACCATCTAATTCTCCAGTTACAATTCCCCCCTCCAATAAACCAACCAAGCAATAAAATCAAGTTAAAATGGAAATCTATAAAAATTCCCAAGAAAAAAGATAACAAGAAGTAAATAAATTTAAATTTAAATTTAAACAAAAAAAGATCTCATTTTCTCTTCATTTTCTTACAATTTCAAAGTAATGAATAACTTATTAAAATCAAAACAATGATCCAAAGGATGAATTTGTTGTTGAGTTGAAGTCAAGTCAATAGATTTGAGAACAGATTTAGGAACCCATATGGGTTCCCCGTTGTGCAGCCTTGCCAAACCTAGATCTAGAACATTAAGACTTTCCATGGTTCAATCGAATGAGGAAGAAGGCATGAATGGAGAGGAGGCTTAGTAACGGAGAGAAAGAGAGAGGCAAGGGTGAGAGGATGCCAAGATCTCTTGAAACCTAGATTGAGAATAGAGATGGGTAGTGGGTTTTATGGAAGGGAAAACAGCTAGACTAGAGAGGAAAGGCTTGAGCCAACGAGGGAGATCGAGGGGCAAGAAGAGAACCAACATCGGAGGAAGAAGAGATAGCCGGCAATGGAGAATGGAGAGAGAAGGGGAAGAAAGAAGAAGAAGGGAAGAAAGTGGGGAACCACAGAAAGGAAAAATAAAATTAACCCAAATAAGCTAGAAATAAGTTTTTAACATAATAGAAATCTATTTAAATCATATTATATTTATTGAATCGAATGGGTGTAGGAAAGGGTGTTGGTCGGCGGGGTAAACATACCATTGTCCTTACTAATAAACATTTTTCCCAAACACATAAACCATTCTCCTAACATAATTCGGAAAACAAGTGATAACAAAAAAAAAAAGAAGAGAGAGAGAAGCTAAAACTAAAACTTAAACTAAAGCCATTTCTGTAGTACAGAAGCCAAAATTAAACTAAAACAGACTCTTCTTGAAAATGGAAAATCATAATTCTGAAACTGATAATTAGAGAAAGAGTGTCCGATGGCATGCAACAAGCTGAATCAATTTAAGCAGAACGTTCATTCTTCTACAATCTATGGTGTATATGATATTTTCTTCATGTTAAAAACTAACACGTTACAAAAAATAATGATAAAGGAAAAAAAATTGAATAAAGAAAAAAAAGGTTTTGTACATTCAGGTACAATGACAACGTAGAGGGATGGACACACCTGCTGGTTTTCTCTTGTTCCGAATAATGGCTTCCTTAATTGCAGGCAATTTCTGTTGAACCTTCTTCCATATGTGGTTTACTGCACCGTCCGGGGGGATTGGCCCAACACCGTCTGGATGGCCGCTTTCGTACTCAAAAATTGGCTGAACCTTAGCCATGTTTCGACGGAATTCATCCCTCTGCCTTGAAGGAATGCTTCTGAGGTGTGTTACAAGCCAATTTGGGGTCAGTGCATCACTGATTGCCACAAAAACTGAAAATTCTGAATAATCAATCATCCCTTCAAAAGGGAGCTCAATATTGTCGCTGACAATCACAGGTATACAAAGACTTTGGATGGCATCAAAGAGTCGGCATGAAGTAGGCGTGTCACCAGCAGGGTGCAAACAGAACTCCGACGTTCTCATCCCTTTAATTGACTGCTTTCTTCCTGTGGCATTGGGGAAACCTTCTTCCATAACGATTCCTGGTTCACCGACCAACAAATCCCATAATTTCTCTCGAACTAGGCCCCCCTGGGAAACTTAACAGTATTAGCAGAACAAACAAGGAAAACGAAAAGGAAAAGGCATGTCAATCTTGATATGCATGAGAAGGCAATAAATAATTATTGAATCTGGTTCACCAGTGCAAACTTATGCTATGAGGCTGCAAGAAAGGCAGTTGATGAGGTCAAAAATGGTCAAACAAAACCATTCTTAAACATGTAACATGCATTATGCATTTGACAAAACCACTTCTGGACTTCATGTGTTAGATACTGACCCGATGCCTATGTTTGGCTCCTTTAAAGTAAAGAAGGGTGTGGCGCTCCTGGTTATCTGACAACTGCAACCTAGGAAGCAAATGAGTGTATGGTACGATCACGTCTTTAAGCAGTGAAACTTGAGTATGGTGCATCATCAAATCTGATGTGCTCCCATTTGATGATTTTAAATCAAGTTTATACCACCCACCAAAATCCACAACCAATAGAACAGCCGGGGCTATCTCCACTCTAACATGCCACATTGCAACTGGGTCTGCCAAAGAATGCTTCAAGTTTTAACATAACCTGACAATCCAGAGACTAAATCATATAAGCTAAGCATGCAGAATTGTTTTCTCCTATTCTTTCTTTACCGATACAAAGTGTAACTATCATTATTTTCTTTTATGCATTACTAAAAAGACAAGAATAACATATAATTAAAGTATTAATGGTTCCATATTATGCCAGCATGCTATTGACAAAAGATCCAAAACAAACATCAACACAAAACTTATAAATTCAGTAGATGCTGTTGGTCTAAGCGCAAACTATTATATGCATATATACAATTTGACACCATTTACTTATTCTAATTCTGTGACAATAAAGCTCTGATTACTGTTTCCCAC